TTTTATGTGGTGAAAATTTCATTTCTTAGTTATGACTGTAGCCTTGCCTTCTCAGTTATTAGCAAAACAGTTTTTGGTATGTTTTACATTTGTTAGATGGAGACAACAAATGCGGGTGTAGTATCCTCCTAAATGATTTTCTATTTATATAAATTGAATACGTACTCAAGTACGATTATTTCGTTATGTGGATGTACAGATTGCTTTACAAGTTTCATACTGCTACAGTTCAGTGTCCGTTTCGTGAAAAGTTATCCATTGTGTAATTATTATGCCATGTTTGAAAAATGAAGTTTATATATTATTATTTATTTCGACTTCTTAATTACCAGCATATTAAAACACTATTAAAACATTAAAATTAAAATATATTGACACATAATAATATAAAATCATACCATGACAATATGTTATCTATATAGGTTTTAATTTGTTGAAGATAAAAGTATCCGAGTAGAAAATATTCAAAGGATGCTTTTAATTCAATGTAAACTGAAAAAATAAAGTTTACAAAGTTGAAATTATAAAAAAAAATTGCATTTATGCCTGCAGTAAGAAGTTTATAATTTAAAACTTATACTGTGTACTTACCTAGTCATTTTTTTTACAGTGATTAATTAATATTTATTAGGTCAGTAAAATACGATTGAGAACGGCAATTTTAGTAATACAATTGAGAACACTCGATTTTTTTTTTTTTGCCAACATTGCCAAATTTAATAACTGTTATTGAACGATAATTTGAGCTTAAAAATTTGAACTTTTTTAAATTGAAATTGTAATTGAAATTCGATCAGAAACGATTTTAAAAATCTCTACGAGGTGAAAATAATAATTAAAAAGAGGGTAAGTGGGTGTCGTTTTGCTGTACAGTAGATAACATGTTTAGTACTATATTGGATGGTGTTAAATTTGAATTCAATGATATATAACATCTTTGTATACGAAAAAAGATTCTGAACGAAGACGGTTTGTCAGCCTAGGATATTTTATATTATATTTATATTGTTATTAACTTATTATTGATACGGTAGCCAGCAAGTTGAATTAATATTATGTATTATTATAATATAAACAATTTATTTTTGTTTCTCCCGGCGCTTTTAGAAACTTCTGGGAATTTTAACCAAACCAATGCACCTACTAGATTCACTTTCACTACGGAATAGATACTTAAGTTGAAAATCAAATAATTATGTCGACTAGGTACTTATCTTGTACACAGATACAAAAAAAAATAAATAATAAAACACACATCATTGTAAAATCAATACATTCAGCGCTCCGCTCAGAATCTAAAATACCTACCAATAAAACAAAAATACTGAATACTAAACATTCATAATAAATATTTGTATTATAATATTTATAGTATATGGAAAATACAAATTCTTTCGCTATATAACTTATATATTATATACGATACAGATAACTCATTAGTCATTACATATATTATATTATTATTAATTATATTACATTTTTTGTACATATTTTTATAAGTTTATAATTATTGTACCCAAATATATTGTCCACATTGATTCCAAATTTATAATAATAAACTGATTTTTATTTATTAGGTGGCAGGTGCCCATATATTTTTATAAGATAATAACTATTAACTTATGACTTTTTTCAAGAATATTTTTAGTACCCATTTTATTTATACATACATTATTGAATTCATCGATAGCCAAATAAATTATATGGCAACGTTTCACATAAATTCATTCTCAAACGTATTGGTTTTTTAGGTCAGCGGTAAGTTCTTTATTAGTTTTAAGTGGTCTCAATCGTTCGGCCAAAAAGGTAGAACTTTATCAATCGTTCGATAGCCCATTGCCCTATTAGGTGAGTATTTGGTATGTTATGGACTGTTAAAAAGTAATATTCCTTTTTATTTGGACAATCCAAAGATTCGAAAATTATAATTGTTTGTATATTTATTGATCGTAAAAGGTATTATAAAAACTGCAGTTCTGAAAAGGGTAACATTACACAACAGTTTTCGTGGTAACACAATTCAGATTTTTACAAAATTACACTGCACAAATAATTATGACATAGTAGGTAGCTATTATAATTATTTGTTACCATGCGTTATAATAATTTAATGTAGCTACCTACAAAAATGGTATTCTATTTATAAACATAAAATCTAACTAAAATAATTATTTACCAATTAATTAAACATTTTTTTTACGAAACCCTAAACAAATATATCGATTGGTGAGTCAAAGTTTTTTTTGGGAAACAACGCACAGTTAGCCACAATTTTATCATAATATTCATAAAAAATGATAAAAATATAATATATAAGCTGGTAAAACGTTAAAAATATATTCATATTAAAACTAAGTTAGTCAATTTTTATTTTGTATAATAATATTATAAACTGATGTAATATTCAACTTCACCACCAGTGAAAACATTACTTTATCAGCAAAATGTATCAGAGACTTTCTCCAATTCGTTTTGATCAAAAATACTTGTTTTCTGTTTATTTTGTTCAGTTACACTTTTGTCCAAGTTTCCACATCCAATATAAATTTAATTAAAATTAATAAATAAACATCTTCAAGCGTCGAATATAATTCAGATAGCGGGTGTTGGGTACTCGGGTACCCATTTCACTTACCTCATCTTGACACAGGATAAAAGGCATAAGTATTAGTGCATATCATTTTATTATTCTAATTTTAAACACAAAGATAAATCATCACATTATTCACATTCCGAAATCATTTAAATTAAAATGGAATTTTAATCAAATTTTTTTACTACTTTTGTTGGTTAAAGATAAGTTTAAGACTAGTAAAAAGTATTTATATCTACACTAAGCTCTTGTTACATCAAAAACAAAGGGTAACAGAAAGAAGTTCGAGATTTCGAGTTTTATCAAAATGGTAATATTTTCAGGGAGTTTTCAATTGAGTTCAATATTACAAACAATTTGAGATATCGACGTTTGACATAGCAACAATCTACTGTAGCAAGCACCAATTCAATTAAATGTCCGATCATAGATAGGACCGCATAAACCTTTTTCACTGCTCAAAATTATTATACACATAAAACAACAAAAGAAAATAAATCGTTATAAGACTAATTAAATATTTCATGCACCATTTACTTAATTTACTAATGGAAATAATTCGTATATATCTTTTGAGCATAGTAAATACTTAAATATCTATTATTTTATTTCACATTCATAATAAATGGTCCATGAATAATTCAGCCTTCAAAATAAAAGCTATTATTGTATTTAGTGACAATATCCTTCAGAACTATAAAGTACCATCCTGAACTTATCGAGATAACACTGGAGTTGTTTTTAAATGTATCAATAATTGAGTATAGTTATAAAAACTGTAGTTATTATTATTTATTTATCGTATGGCTACAACTTTTTATGTTAGTTATTTATAATATGTTCTATATGCGTACCTATATGTATATATTATATAGGCATCCGTCCAATACGCGACCTACCTCCCTACTTATTATCGGTCAAATTTACAACCTACACATAACACCTACACTACAGTATTCGTAATTGTAAAAACACATAAGTTATTTTAATAATACCTTATCATCATACAATATATCCTCCCATGTAGAAGTTATTTAATTGTAATTTGTATAATTTATGATATAAAAGCATCCTTCATGACCGATAAAAATTCATATAAATTCATGGAATACAATATTATAGTTTGCTTGGTTGGGTAGATATCACCATTACTCCTCTTTAAGTTGTCTCAGTAATAATGGAGAAGCGCTGTTTACTTTTATTTCAAATCACTTTTTCAATATCTTCTATTGGCATTCTATACCTTGGGTATTGGCATTTGTATCTGGGTCTATAAACAATTTTTGATGATTCACAGTATTGTGAATGTATCTTTCATTATTTGATGACTAATAAGTTTTTCATTCATCACTCTGGAGTATGGAGAATGGATTATAGGTCCTAATTCCACTCCATTTTTAGCTATAGGAAGTAAGGTTGCTTTGTCAACCATAAATAAACGTTGCTTCAATAATATCATATTTTTTACAACAAAGTCAGTAGATATCGATAAAATATCTATAAATTTACTTTCTCCTTACTCAAATTTAATCACTGCATATAAGTGAATTTTGTTTGCTCGTAAAAGTATATAGTACGTTTTTTAAGTATTAATTCCTAGTTTTAACCCATACAGCAGCTCGAACATTTTTTAAAATTTATATTCGACAAAATCTCTAATAGGAAGATTCTTTATTCTATGAATCATATCTTTTTTCATTTATCTCTTACACCATCACAATCACATACATACAAAATGCTCAGAATAATATATTGTGTACCTTGTAATAGAATTTCATCACCAAAAAAAAAATAAACTGATGTAGTTATTTTAAACAACCTTGTTTTTCAAATGATTTGATAATTTTTTTTTAATATAATAAAGCTACACTAATATCATATTTCCTGCACTTAGTTTTGTGAAGTTAAACAAGTTCCAAACACCCGATCTATATTTTACTTTGTAGATATCACTTTTCACTTACCTCCGCATATTTGTTATTTTTCATAGTTTTACTGAAATAGATAGTGTAACAGTCAACGTACTCTATATAAAAACATATTTGTTAAAATTGAAGCGAAGTATAATATTATGATGTTTGAGTGTCTAGATAAGTGGTCTGAAACACTAATAACTGCAACTGTATGTCTAAACATATAATATGATAAAACATAATGGATATTTTTATCTTATTATTATTATTATTATAATTATATAAATAATTTATACACAATAAAATTAAAAACTATAAAACAATTTTTCAAGTGTTTCTTCTAATATGTATTAACTTTAAATTATATTTCAGAATATTGTAAATTGGGATAATGATTTTAAAATTATATTTTCTTAAAATCAATTTAAAATCACCGATTATCATGTATGATCGTCAACGAGAAGACTAATAAACATCAATATGCGTAGCTTAGTATGATACTGTGGCCGATTATTTGCATACTATATGGATTTCAAACAGTGTGTAAGTATGTCATGATTTATTAAATGGTTAAGTTATTTAATCAAATTAAATATATTCTAATATGCGTAAATTATTCCACATTCCCCTCCTATTGCTTTAAGCCCAAAAAAAATTATCCGATTTTTATTAATAATTATTTGAAATGCAAAATGTAATTACTCACTTAATAATAAAATAATAATTATGTACACGAATATTTAATCACCTACATACACATTCACCAATACACTGTTTTAAGTTTGGCACCAAATGCAATAATGAAAACATATAAATTAACAATTCTATTTTCACTCTGCTCGACAGTGCATAAAGATTAATTTTTGAGACTTTAATTTTCCATGGTACCACACAACGAGTGAACTTATTATGTTATGAATAATATCTTCATAAATTCAAAATGATGTGTTTGGTCATTTTAATATTTTCCGTTGAAAAAATGTCAGAAAAACGCATTGTAACGTGAAACAGTAAATTTAATGCGAATTTTCCGATGTAAAAAAAATCGTTTAAATACACACATTATATTATCATATATTATGCAAATCAAATAATCAAAAGTGTCAATGCCAGAAACTCAACTCATATACCAATATTAGGAACAATTATTCTTTATTGATATAATATTATCAGTTTCATAAAAATACAAAATATATTTTCCCATTGAATAACGAATAACAACAGAATAAAAACCATTTAATGAAATATGTATTTGTACCCGCAGGGTGTATTTCTGCCAGCCAAGCTCCTGGTGACATCACGGTCATGTTCATAAGTCCGACCACTGTCAAAGTATCTTGGAAAATATCACTAATAGGTATTGAAAAATATGACGTCATGTACAAACCAACCAACGCCAGGTATGACTACCACTGTTTTAGATTTAGTACCATTTGCACTACAATCTACAACATTATAAATTTTAATAATATTACCCATGTAGAAAATCTGATTCTATCATTATAGGTATGTGAATGAGTTTTCATATATAATAAATTATATTATTTTACTTTTTTTTATTGTTATTCATTTAAAGTTTTCATGGCGTGATCATATTATACATTTAATGTTATTAAGACACAATTTTTTTCCGTTATACAAAAATAGATAACGATTTGGTAAGTTTTTATAATAAAAATTAGATACAAGTGTTAATAGACATGTTTATTATTTGTATTGTTATTATTATTATATTAGAACATCGTGGGGGTGTTCTCGTGTGAGCGAAAGTTGATGATATATTTAAGATTGTTATGTACGTTTTGATTGCAGATAGTTTGAAGTCTGTTGAATGGCTTCGTTTCTAATGAAATCAGGGGCACTCACTTGTAATTGTGCTTAATAAACTTGGTAAACTTGAATTTTGTTAATATATGCTATAGGGAAGCATAATAAAGCACTAAGGATTGTAGAATTCGCTTGTAAAGATAGAGAGGAATTCCAACATAGAAAAATAAATTAATAAATAATTAAAATCAAATTTTAGTTTCTTCAATAGGTACTTCAGAATGAAGCTTAAAATGTATTTTAATTTTCCTTCTATAATGTAATTTTATCTACCTATATGAAGTGTTTCTACTAAATCTTTTCTAGGATTGTATGATAGGATTTAGATGGAATACCTATTTGACGAAAATTCCCTATGGACTATGTAAAATCGAATAAGGCCCCAAAATATAAAATTTGCCACGGGTAAAATAATCTAAAATGATGCACAATAATAAATAAAATACAGTTTTTGTGTTTCATAATAATATTTAACTTTTAATCATACACATCGTTTGGTAATAACTAATTTTAAGAACAAAATGTAATAGGGTCTTACATTCTGCTTAGTGTGTATTATAAAATGTATAATTTCGTACATGATTAAACATGTAAAAATTGTTCATGAAGTTGCTTATTAAAATAAAAACTTATATAGGTATGTATAATTTTGAGCTTTAAAAAATAATTAATTTGGTAAGCAGATGTTACAGTAAATCTAAATGAAAATGATAATGAATATAATAGAAGAGAATCAAACAAGTTCAGTAATTTTTTTAATGTATTTTTACAAAGTCAAAAAACACAAAATAACAAAGACGTATATTTATTTAGTTGTCAAGCTGAAATCTGCTTAATAAAATTAAAATAATGAAAGAAAATAAATATTATTATATGACTGTTATTTTTTTTTTAAATTGTACCTAGATATTTAAATTTTAAACTAAATAAACATTGAAGATCCTTAATTTCATTAAACTTGATTTATATCATATATAAAGCTCAATAATGTAACAACGTTTCACATCATATCAGTGTAAAATTAAACATACTTTTAAAGTTTTATCACTAAAAATACAAATATCCTAAAAAATCGTACACCACATTTCGTTCAAAATATTTTAATTTCATAATTGTTGTAGCAGCTAGAAGGAATTTTTAAATATTAAAAGGATCCAAACATTATGGTCCAGAAAGTCAAGCTGACATACTATGCAAGGTGACATTCGGGGACGGATTGGGGGATTGGGTGTGCTAAGTGCTTGGCTCGAAGTGCCTCTAACTTATGATAAGTTTAGTCTGGTGGCAAAGAGGCAAGGGAGAGTTATTTAGGCGGGTAAAATATTCGATCACGATTGCCTAAAATGTCCTGATCTGGTCATTGTAACGTTTTCTAACTATAGTCACAAAACCAACGGTAGGCGCGAGCGGTAAAATAAATATTATAACTGGTACCGCATTACTACATGGTGATAATTGTATAAAACTATAAAATGTTATGCATAATAAACAAATATTGAAACGTGATAGTAACAGAGTAACGCACACTGCAAGATTATACTGTCATTCATCTACGGGAGATTTACTACTAATATCTGTGAGTTGTAGTAATAATCGTGAGAAATGTGTAGTGGTCGGGAGTAGTGCGCTAATTGTAGCGACCCTACAGTAGCACGCTACTTTATTTGTAGCGATTGACGCAACATTATGCCTTAGACAGAGAAATACTATAGCGTGCTAAACATTTCCGGTTAGCATAGCGAAAACTATCATTATTTTGTCGCTACCTACAATCTAATTGCTGATTATTAAAATATCAATTATGATTATATTTGTTTATTTATATTATGATAAATAATGATTAGTGTATTAGTGAAGTATTTGTCCAGGGTCCTGTCCAGTGACCAAATGTCAAATCAGTACAAACTACAAACACTAGTTTTCAATAAGAACATTTTTAAAAATGTAACGAAAAAGTAGAGAGCTACGTTTAGACAGTAGCGAGCTAAATTTAAAAAAACGCAACGTCTCCTCTCAAAATCGTTTTTTGTATGCAATGATTTATCATTGAACTCAAATATAACAAACCCATTACAACGACATACTCGACATACAGAGCGCACAGCAGAAGCGGTTCACCTTTTATTCTTGATTATTTTAAAAATGATTGAAAATGTCTACTTTTTTTCCCACCCAAGTACAAATTAGATCCAATTTACTACCAAAAACATCCATTAAAGTTTATGATTGGAGCATTCCACTAGAAAAAGTGAGTCTAGACACAATAAAAATAAAATTGCATTTTAAAAAATACACATGATGGAAAAATCAATGAATCCTTTGCTCCACGTCAGATTCTAATGTACACCATTAGAGGAACTTTTGATTCTGCAGATACGTGATATTGTTTAAATGTTGTATCAAATAGGTAGGTTACACAAAAAACGTAAAAACAACGAAGACATTCAACAAGTAGTAGTAGTAATATATATAGTCTATGGATTAAAAGAAATTGAACAAAATATTTACTTTTACACAGTGGGGAGTTTAGTTGGGGGAAAAATTTCAAGTTTTGTACATGTTGAAATTCGCTTGGAGGAAGTGGAACATAAGGATACATTGTCTAAATAACAAAAATACTGAATAGGTAAACATTATAATTTTTCAGTTTTCTATAACATTATATAATATTTAAAAATCAATACAATTTTAATACAATATCAACTATGACCCTATTCAAATTAAATAATTATATTTAACCATTTACCCAGATACATTATTATCTATAATATAATTAGTTATAAAGGAAAAAAATAAAGGTACTTCGTATTTCCCTAAAATTAAAACATCTACAAATTACAATGCTTCACGTCAACGTAATTTTATGAACATGCAACTATATAATTTTATCGAATAACTCCTTCCAACTGCCACCCGGTCACGATACCTATCATATAGTCACGTATATAGGGACATTATATACAGCTATGGCCAGCCAACCACCATCGCGATTAAATATGTAACGATTTGTGTATTTGAGTGGGTGTCTTTGCCATTGGTCAGTTACAGGGTAGTAGCGGAGATAGCGGTCAACTCCGATTCCGTGACACTCGGTAACTTGATGCCAAATACACAATACCAAGTAACTGTGACAGCGTTCAAAGCAGGTCGCCGATTCCGTAGCAGACCAGTAATATTTAAAACACTTGGTAAGTTAGATAAAAATATAATGTTTAATGTTTGGAATAATACTATTTTTAAGTAAATTGAATAATACACATACACAATCACTCAAAGCACGAAGGCATAACTTAAAACTAAGAGGATATATTTGGGGTGGAAATGACGCTTTTGAAATTAAAAATGGAACTCAACTAAAATTAAGGCGTTTACCTATCTTTTTAACAGAAATTTAACTCTATCATAATATTATCATCAAACGATTTTATTAATACCTCTGAAACACTTTCGTGTACCCACTATTACAATATTTGTACCAATGTGGCAATGTATATACCTAATTTACAATATTTAAATTTGTACTGTAGTGGGCTATATGTATATAGTTGACTTGTAATTTTTATATCAACAAATTAAATTAATTGGTCATCAAATTAACATATTAAGCTTTTAACCTCAGACCATAATATGATCTAATAAATTATAAAATTAACTAGGTATAAAGCCACATTTTTCCGTGATAATCACAAGTCACAACTAATTAACATTGCTATCTACAGATAAATTAAAATTAGTGTAGACAGGTTTGAAGTTATTGTTATTAAAACATAATTTTGTACATATTATGAAAACATAATTAATACATTTAGAAGAAACTATTTACCATATTATAATGATAGTAGATCAATGTTATTTATGTACCACTATATTATTATCAGAGGTCCAGAGAAATATTGTTTTACAAACAAACTTAATTTATAAAATGTATAGCGTGTTATTATTCAAAACTTATTTTTGAAAAAAAAATCAGTTTAACAAAAGATTAGTATATAAAATAAATGACTAAGTAGATTTTATTATTATAATAATAATACAAATAAGACCAGTTAGATTTTAAGACGAAAATATTTTATTTCAATTTTTACTATAAGAATTTTGACTAACTGAATAGTTACAGGATTGAAGTCCAATATTTATCTTTTCTTTATCAGCTAAATATATCTCTATTCTGAAACCAAAAAGTAATTAAAAGTCACTGCCCTATACTTTTTCAAAGTTATTTTTTCTACATCCAATCTATCAATAATAAAAATATTCAGTATCAAATTCTAATTTTAATATTAAATAAATTACATTTTCATAATTATAATATTTATAAAACAAACACAGAAGCACAGCCCTACCCATCCCTTAGGACCTAAAACTAAAATTACAAATATTTACACTTTACAGACATATTATTGATTGATTGAAAATTACTATATTTATATTTTTACTCACCTTGAAGTTGGGTTAATTTCTGAAATCACGTGACGTGACTGAGAGCAAGCAATGGCCGTTGCCACTAGTTCTCGGATGGGTGACCCTCTGGTTTCGTATTGCACAAAAACCTTGCCACACATACACGTGTTCCTAACCTACCATTCCAATCCTACCAACCTTACAGGCTAATGACATCAGTCGTCGAAGCTTTAAGCCTAATAAAAAAAAAAGTAATAAAAATTATTTTAATATAAAACATAATATTATGTATAGATACAGTGTGGGGCCTATTCTATTTTATGTAATATTCAATTTAGCTTTTCTTTTAAACTTGCTGTTCTTCATTTAAAAATCTATAACAAGATAAATTATTCTTAATCTAAAAAATTATAAATGATATAAATGTATTATTATTACCGCCGAGCCTGTTATTTTTGTATTGTATTGACTTAACTAATATCTATAATATTATGTTACTAACTGGATCACCCAATTTCACCTGTGAAAAAATTGAACAATTAATACATAATATGGTAGGTACCTACCAGCTACCATATAGAGATATCTTGGTTTAAGTGTAACTCAGTTCATGGGGAAATTAGCATCGGTGTACCTAGCTTTGTAAACTGATTTGACTAAGAACCTTCCAATTCTGGAAAATTAGATATATCACTTGGTATATCTTTGAACCTGGTTCAAACTACTTTCTAAATTTTCCTAATATCTCTAAAAACAATCTATGAATTTTTTTCAAAATTGGTAGAGTATTTTTGATTCTTTAAGCTACAATGACATACGGACAGTTGCTCATTGATGTAAAATGTACATTTGTATAACAAACAATAATTTAAATATTATATTTTCTTTTATTAAAAAAAATATTCGATAGCAACGCATTGCGGGTTGAGGTTAGTGCACACTAATTTTTTTTTAATTTTAATTTTTATAACTAATGGCAAACCTAACGTATAAACAAAATAATAGGTATTCGATTTTTGTGAGGCAAAATGAAATTCATATGTGATCCACCCTGACGCACACTCACCCCTAGGGGTTCAGAAAGAAGCAGTCCCCGAGTCTCAAGGAATATGAGCAACATTTAGTACAAATAGGTTTGATAGTAACTAAGTCTATATAAGCCCCATGCAAACGTATATTCGTAAATTAATTTGTATATTTATCATGTAGGAATACATTTTATATTACGTAATAAATATCAAAATAATATATAATGTAACTATTTTTCGTATTAAGTATATTAATAAATTCTACCATGTATACAAACAACATATTATTTTAAAATTTTATTTTAAAATTTCCTATAAAAAGTACTAAAAAGTAGTATCAAAATTATGTGTTAAATTTTCAAATTGAAAAAAGCTAACTTTAAATTACTTGCCAAAAAGAATTGTTAATATACCTATAGAGTATAGACCTATCAACCAGTAAATGTATTATTGTTTGTTCATAATCGTTTAACAAATGTTAAAAATTAATATTAATTTATTTAATACATTTTTTTAGATAAAGGTGTGTCGTGGCCAGATATTCAACATTCACAGATGAATACTAGTGGTGATGTTGATATATCACCACCGGATGTTGTAGGTGGTGTTGGACATTCAGTACCACCAGAAGGTTCTACTTCGCCTCCTTATGTACAGGTATTAAATTAATTTAACCTTTATTCTGTTTAGAAGTTTATAAAAATATTAAAATTATAAAAACAAATCTATATTATATTTACGAGTACATTATCTATAATAATTATAACTGAAATAATAATTAGATGGTAAATTAAACAAAGTAATAGCTAAGTATGTCATACATAAATACTGTTAACTGGAAATACCTAGTCATTTTTTTTCTGTATATAGAATAGATTAACTTCATGATGGTACAAAAGAATTGTAACTTGTAAGTGAAATAACATTTTCAAAGCATCAAATTAAGCTTATAAATAAACGTATACATAATAAATATTATATCCAGAGCTCGGCAGCTATAGCATTTGCATATTTTTTTTCTTGGTAAATCTTAATACATCCTGAGTAAGATACAAATTCGTTTCACAAGTCTGAATTCTATGATGTAATACTGTTTTTTTTTTTTTTTGCTAGTTTATGGATATTTACAGTTTTTAGCACGTTTTTCAGTTTTTGAGATATATTTTAAGAGCTATTTTAGGTTCCAGATGCTCATATCCATCCCAAAATAAAACACATGCAGAAAGCTGTGTCAAAATGAACATTAACCTTCAGAAATCGTCCTCACCATGTCATTTAAATTCATTTTATCATATCAAATTTCCTCTGTTTCAAATGCGTAGATAAATTGCTAAAGGTGCTATTTATCCCTAGTCTATTCATGTTTATATTTCCATACTTAATATATTTCGTGATCATTTCCTACAAGTCCTTCATTAGTTTAATTTTCATTTAATCATATTAATAAAACAATAATTGTTATCATTCAATGGGTGTATGGTGTACTTACGAGAGGCAATAGTAATAACTAATAGTAACTAAAAAATTTAAAGAGATATTTTGTACTTATATTTTCATATATGAATGGAACCTATCACATTTTACTGAATTTTTAGTTTAATTCTCAATAGAAACATTGAACGTATTGCCTACAGCCTACCGGTTACAATCTATATCATTAAATATAAATTATTACAATTTTGAACTTATAAGCACGAACTCTGCTAAATAAATATCACTAAATAGCATGTATAACCAGCTAAACACAAAATATGTAGTTCTTTAATCATTATGGTATATTATAAGTATACAGCAGTTATCATAATAAAAAAAATGTTATTCTTTGATTCAAGCATTGTCTGGAACTGAAATAAACACGTATGTCTTTAAAACACCCTGCAAGATTGACAGTAGTTTTTGAATAGATTTTTTGTGACCAGTATTTTTAGTAGTACCGCCCCACAATTTTTCTTTAACTCAATAGTTTTATATATTTTTTTTAAAAGCATTTCCATCGGCAATAGAATATTTATAATCACAAGGCGTTATACGAGATAGGTAGTCTATTTGGGTAAATGAACATCTCGGATCGATATTGTTGGTTAATTTTATGAGTATTATTCGTTAACTTAAGTAAATTTAAATAAAGTGAAATTATAATAAATCATATCATTATAACTATATAACAGGTGAATGCAATCTTAGATAATTGAGAGACGAGAGTCAATAGTATTTATTATTTATGGTAAAATTTAAGTTGTATTTAAAATGTACAAACAAATAATAATAAATACAATAGTTTTATGAAAATATAAGCAGCACCCAACCATTAATAACATGAATTATGTAAATAATTGAGTGGTCTTTACATTTTCAAATGAATTTCAATAAGGTTTCTTATCACTTATTCAAAAATAAATTAACTTTACTAAAAACGTATTTTACGTTGATAAATTAACCGGTCATGTGGTTTCAGTGTAAAATGTTAATAATATTAAGTAAAGACTATAGACAATCAAAATAAGAATGTTATGATATTCACAATAATGACGTGGATGTTGAAATACTACTACTTTACAAGTTTTAACTATTTATGTTTATTTAGGTGCGAGGAATCGAAATTACTATTGTAGTGCTGGTCTTAATGGTCTGGGTCGGCGCTATAATAATGTTTTTCAACCGATGGGGTAAAATTAGGATGCTTATACCATATCAACCAGACTATAAAGACACGCAACTCAAAGTGCCCGGAACAGGTGCATGTAATACCACCAACTCGTGCCAAAACCCAACAGGACCAAGTTTTTGTTGTTCGCAGGTCAGTGTTATATTTTCTGTTTTAAGATACTAAATGCTCATTTAAATTGTGTGATGCACGTGAAAATATTTTGATTTTTGAACATTATTTTCTTCTATTTACTATCGTTTATTTTTTTTTAATTTATCAACCTAAATACAGGGAACCGAAATGTAATAGAAGTCGGGTGTCAACATAATGTAGTACAACGCGTAGCGTATAATGCATATTTTGTTGGATACCATTAGTCACCAGAGAGACCGTGGATCACGATATTTTTTAAGTAACTAACCGTATTATGTGAAAAGGAAAATAAAAATTCCAACAGGCAACAACCCTTACCTCGATTTTAATGTTGAATGGAGTGATATAATCAGATGTTGGATAATCTTCGAAAAAATAATAAATAAATATTCAACTAAATAGAAAATGGAAAATTATTAACCTAACCTATACCTATTATTTAATAAGTTGTACTAAACAAGAAAAATAATATGCTGAATTCTTAACTTACCTACTTAATGAACATAAAAATTATAATATTTTGTTTGATATATAATATGGTTGACGATTTTTGTTATACATATAAACCTGATTTTACCTAAACATACTCACAAAAATATAATTTATCTTTCAAACAATTTATATAAAATAGTAAGTAAATTGTTAATGCTAAAAAATTTAGGTACACATTTTTAAGAACACAAAGAAAAAGAAACCTTATTCTACAAAAATGTGTGTATTTATTTTAAACCATGTAATACCATTGATTATACTATTATAACTTATTTAATAATATGCTGAAACATTTTAAATTTAATATATTAAAAAAAACTTATATAATATTCAATAATTTTCTAACAAAATATTATGAATTCCATTCAACAATCGAATAGTAATAAGTTAAAACACAATTTTTCGACTAAATAAATACATTAAATAAATCATTAGAGCTTATGTCTTAAGAAATTCAAGTATGAGGTAAATATATTTAAATTTAAGATATAGATCATCTACAATACATCGGTAATTTATCAGTGGTTTTTTTTTTAAATACCTAATCAAATTATGTTATAATAACCAAAGGTTAGTATTATTTTTGTTTTTAACTTATTAACTTATTCAGTTAAAATGTATATTGTTGTAACTTAACTTTTTATAGTTAATTATCATCGTCATGCAGTTAAGTAAATTTTCTTTTCGAGTCATGAGTAGTCAACTAGGCAATACTGATTCGTCGACTTTTGTACGATTCTGGTAATTTATTTTTGAATTATATATTATAATAATTACATTTTTTACACAGTTTTAAATGTCTTGGTAAATGTTTGGGTATAACAAAATACTATGGTAGTTTATGACTTAAAAATATTGTATCTTCAAAAAAATTAACTGAAATAAGTTAATTTTATTTTCTATCTTAACTTTAAACTTATCTAGTTAAATTTTTTTTCTTTGTTAACTTTTAATTAAACTGAAGGCAATTTAATTGAATTAACTTAAAATTAAATTAATCTAGTTACCACAGTTACTTAATTTCATTAACTTGCCCACCATTGATAATAACAGTAAATTATAGGTGGTAACAACAGTAATTTCAGGAATCTATTTTTGATTCAATAATACATAAAATTATCTTAAGTGAAATGTATAAGGCAACAGGCACATAATTAGTACATATTAACCGTAAAGTATATTTTATCTTTCAAGTTTTTCATACGATTATATATTTTTATGACCAAACAACAACTAAAAGATTTATTTTACCAAATATTTCTCGACTTATATTATCTTTATTGTCAAGATGAATAAATTTGACCAGATGTACCACTGGGTATTTTCACTGATATTATCCTTGTCCCTTGTTATTGTCATAACCAGCTTTGGATATTAAGGTGCACACGACGTTGTTATAAATATAGCTTGTGTTCGATCGTATACATAAGCTAAGATCGATACAATTTCATAATAACAACCTTGGCACTTTTGATGACAGTGAAATGTGATAATATATATGTATGATATTCTTGTGTCATAGAGGTATTGTAGGGACAAGGGTTGACATCGTTTCGAAAAATGTGTGAGCAAATAACATTAGAAACGGCCGATACCCTTCCTGAAAAAAAACATCAAAACCAAAAGTAAAATTGATATTAATAATATTTTACTCAAACCATTTTTATATAAAACTGTATTTTAAAATCTTCTTTTGTATCCATAATAATATAATACAAGATATTAATAATATTATTTGCTATGTCTGGCTATAACAAGATCAGAAAATGTAAATTGACTAGAAACTAATTTTTAGATTTTTTTTTTGTGGCGTTGGAACATTAAGTCAAACGAAGGGAACTTCAAAAAAATTTCTCTTTGCCATATCTACAAAATTCTTCTAAACACGCCTATCATGAAACATGGATATAAATATATAATATTCAATATTTGATGTACCTACACATTGAACGGAAGGCCCTTTATTCTATTATATATAAACGTACACTATTTCAGCATTACCTACCTGTTTGTTTTATTATCTTTACAAAATTTTTAGTTTTGCATTTTATCATTTTATCCAAACTCAATTTATAACTGTAAAAATATTGTGAGGGACAAGACTACTATTATTTTAATAATCAAATAAAATCCATAATTTATGTCAAATACTTAGTATGCGCCTGCCGCTGTGGTTGTCCGTCGCAACTTTCGTTTCCACGGTTACCATTGTTGGCTTTATAAAATTATTATTCTCCTTGAGGTAAAATCCACGTGTGATTTAATTGAAACTAACTAAATTAATTAATTACATTTATGCTGTCTACTATTCAATTACCTATATAACATGTTTTCTTTTGATGTATACCTACCTACCTATAAGACTATAAATAGTCGTTTAAACTTAGAGAACAATTAATTTTAACATATCAGATTTCATTAAGCAATAGGACATAATAAATAGTTTTAAGATTATATTTCATAGTATACTCGCATGTTAACCAGGAAATTAGTAAGCTCATAATAATTGAGATTTTCCTTTGCGTTCTTTGCGTTTTTAACTATACATTAATTGTTTCTGGTCAGGTGGCACTGCTGGGAGCCTTCCTATTAATGTTATTTTATGTCTCATGTTCTTATGTCACCACACTTACTTATTATACCTTGTATCTTCTATAGATTGTAAATATACTTTTTTTAAATGAAAAAAAAACTATACATTTAAGCCCAAGGAACATTTTTAACTACGATCCATTATTTATTATAATCAGTAAATTATTTAAATATCAAATTCATATTCATGTGTTAGATAATTCATTTCCCGTAAACGAAATCCATTATATTATGACTATAAGCGTTTTCATTGCCAAATTACATCTTATTCATTACTTTACTAGACATGTTTAGTTTTGTCCAGAAATATATTGTATTTCTGACGGCAATTTATTGTTTCGACTCAATAACTAATCAACTATTTTATATTTCCATAATTATTAGAATTTCAGCTGTTAATGGAATTTGTAGTAATTCAATAACAAATTCTTTGAAACAAAAGTTATTGGCATTTTAGAAACCAGTCATTGCCGAGGACAAACTAGGATAGTGACTCTTTATATAATAAGTCAATATTGTGTGCAATATGAAATATGTTCATACACATCATTTTTATTTACATATGACGTCATATGAATCATTATACATATTATATTATGTAGTATGTTACAGTATGTACCTATAACACTTTAATATAAATTCAGTATAAAGCTTAACATCTTATAGAAATAATTAAAAGTTTGAAAATATATATTTACAAAGTATACCAATTATTTTCATCAGTCATCACTAAAATCTGTAATTACTACTTTATGATTGTTTTACTATTTTTTTTAAAAATATTTTTCTTAAATACGGTAACTCGTGGTTTTATAATTTTCGTAAATTTAACGTTACTAATCAGAATTGTTATTGCTATGGAAGTATAATATAAGTGAATTCTACTACTATACCTATTCATTGTGTATGTGAATATACTGCAGTGTCACACATAAGAGGTGGCTATAAGCTCCAGCCACCAGAACAGAAAAATTCTAATTTTAATAGTATTTAATACAAGTACTCCTAAAATTTCGTACATTTAATTTATTAAAAATGTTAGTTGTTTAAATTCCATGAAAATGTTTTGTTTTATAACAGTGTGTATATATATATATATACAGAGGGTAACTGAAATAGCTAAACATTTTAATTAACTACCTATATTTATAATAACTTTCGTCTTTATCAACATAATATTTTTCTTAATATTTAATTAAATATAAACTATAATAATCATATAATATATGAATTAAAATGTAAAAGTTTTATTAAAAAAATGAATAAAAATAAAAGCTATTACTTAGTTAGATACATCTCTCAGTTTTTTCGGTTACACTTTGTATTTAATATATCTATATAAATAAAACACAACAAATGTTTCTACCCAGCTACCTGTGTCCTTTATGCATTCCTAAACCGTTAGATAGATTACATCTGAGGAAAGAATAGGCTACATTTTGTCGCGAAAAAATGTAAATAAGAAGTCCTGCCCGGGGAGGTACTCAAACAGGGATTATAAGATTTACGATGGAAATTTTTGTTTGTAAATGGTCACTATTGGTTTTAATAATAATAATTATTATTATTTATGCGGTAAGCCTGTGTATTTTAGTACAGAATGTATCAAGTTTGAACCACAGTTTCAATGGACCAATTTTTTTACATTTTTTGATACTTTGGAGCTAAATTATACACTTACGTACGCACCACTCGGGGTCCATGATCTACAGCAGGTAGATTGCCTATCTGATAATATACTACTCACATAATCACAAGCGAACCTCATGGACAACGCTGGTTGGGATGGCTATAGATTCAAATATAATAATACTTACACTTAAAAATACATTGCTTCCTCAACGTGTTACACCCAAAAGAAGTTGAACAATCACAAGAACCTTACCTATATAGCAATAGCAAAGCATTACCGT